TTTCAGAGGTAAATCTTATGTGAGTATATTGTACTAAATCTATACATGTAAAGTCTGAACAAGTGGTTGGTAATAATGGATTGTTAAACACAGTAGGGTAGACTTGATGTCTAGACAAGATAGTGGTAAGAGCTGCACTTTAAAGAACACTAGTTACTTGCTCTGATTAAAAAGAAAAACAAAGAATGTTTCTATTATGTAAGGTTAGTATGAAATGCTTAGATCATGAACATAAAACAATAGTACAGCTGCCACTATTCTGAAAACAATTTCATTTTAATCCATCATATGCTAAAAGCTGAGCTGATCCTTTTCCATGACTACAACTCCAGTTTACATTATCAAAAAGACTGTACATTTTATTACCAATCTTTACTTCGAGCCTCTTTAAAAGCAAAACAAAAACATCCTATTATAGATTGAAACAGAAAGAGCAAGAGCTAGTGAGACAGTCAGGAATCATCAGGCTGTGGATAGCTGTTGAAACTAGATACTGAAAGAAAAGAGGGCCACAGCTACAATACTTATGAATAGATGGAACAACTCTTTTCTTAAAGAAGAAAACATGTTCTGCACAATTTAACTTAAGAAATACTAATCACTGACTGATGCATAGCAGTGGTATATTTGAGAGTTTTAAAAAGCATTTTAAAGGTAAGAAACCTGTGTCCTTACTAAGAGAGGGTTAAAAAAAAAATCAAAGCACCTGAACATTCCATAGTTAAATCTCAAATTAGCTACACATAATAGTATATACAGAAGAAGCAATATTTAGCTTTTAATTTTTAGTATGATTTGAATCAGGAAGGGACCTACCTAAGATTATTCAGTCCAAGGTTTTTATTTTGAAGGAAAAGTAAAAAGCTAGTGAGGTCCCTATGGTCACAAAAATGGTTATAGTATAGAATTCAAAATTAAATAAAAATTAATATATTAGTAGGCTAATTTAGACTTACTGGAGAGTCACAAGCAGCAAAATGACTTCTGAATTAACTTTATTTTTCATAGCCAACTGGAGTAAGGAAAGAAATATATGGACCTTGCAAATATTAAATCCTAGAAGGCTTCAAAGAATTAAAGTAAATACTGTTTTATCCCTAGAGATGTAATAGAAGGAAAGTGGATATATAATGAAGATTTTAATTTGTGTGGTTCAAAGTGACAATTAGGTAAAAGACACAATTTCTCACTAGTAAAATAGCAAGAGATGGATATACTTTTTTTTTTAAAATAAACACAGGTTTCATTCTGCCATCTAGGCTGAAACTCCTCAGCTCAAGTGATCCTCCCACCTCAGCCTCCCAAGTAGTTAGGATTACAGGTATGAGACACCAGGCCTAGCTATTTTTTTTTTTTTTTTGGAGAGACAGGGTTTTGTCATGTTGCCCATGGTGGTCTTGAACTCCTGGCCTGCAGTGATCTCCCCACATCAGCCTCCCAAAGTGCTGGTATTACAAGCATGAACCACGACTATGCTCAGCCGCTTTCAAGTCACTATGTAGGTATGTAAAGGTTTACAGGATATCACAGTCAAGGGATTAAGCCAAACATCTGAACCAGATGAACCATCTGATTTGTATAAATCATACAAAATTTTGTGGATTAGGTCTCTATAGGAATTAGTATAACGACAGTCCAAAGAAATTCTGAAATTTGCCTAAGCCAGGAGGCCTAGGAAAATAGCCCAGTAATTGAGTATAAAAGACGGCCCAACTTGGGTAAGAGGAGATAATCTGGGGAAATGAGAAATAAGATCCATCCTAGGACCCTCAAAGCATCAGGCAGCTAAATGTTCTGTGGTAATAGAGTGGATTATATCTACCAAAGAACATTCAAGTAAAAGTGGGATGATTCAAAATAATTCATCTCTAGCCATACAATATTTCAGAGATATAACGTAAGGTTTTCTGGATTAAAGATTTTCGACGAGTGGTCCTCTATCATATCTGATTATAATTTGGGGGACTTTATAAAAAACCATGTGTACCCCTAACCCTAATAAAACTCTTCTATGTCCAAGGATAAAAAGGTGACGATATGGTAAAAGACATAAATATGCCTCTGTCATTGAGGTGATTCTGATACAATCTACATCCATATGCACACCCTTAAACATCAAGAAACAGCTGTATCCTGTGGCCATTTTCAATTCAACCAAATTTTTCCCAGGAGATTTATTTTTTTATAATACTTTTTAAAGTTAATGACTTTCTTGGGGATTCAACAGCTGAGAGACCTAATTTAGAGAAACCACCCCAAAATTGTATATTACAACTTATCCTTCCAAGAAAGCTGAAGATAAAGCATGTGATGAAAACAGGAAGAAATATTTAATTTCTATATTATCCTAGCTTGATTTGTTGATCTCATCTCTACAGAGATTTTTGTGTTATTATTCTTTTGTTAAAATTATGGGATATTTCAAATATACAGAAGAATATAAAGAATAATTACTGGATACCTGGCTTCCCATCCATTTGGTATTTAATGGCTAAAACTAAAATGTGTAAAAGTTTGAATCAAAATTGGAAAAACCAAAATCCTTAAAATTTTTCATTTTCAAAAATTATTATATGCTGTAGATATAAATCTAAAAAATAACTGTGTATCATTATTTGCTAAATTTCTGACATTTGGGGAGCTTTTACTTTGATTTTTTACCAATATATAAAAACTAAAATATTTTAGGAAAAAAAGAAGTTACATTCCAGTGTTTAACACCATTAAGTCTTCTATTTTATAGCACTTCTAATAACTGTTTCACTTCTCTAGTAATATTAGAACATAGTATTTTCCTTTTAGATTTATTTTTCTTTCTTTAGATCATTTGTTCTTCCTGTAATAATCTCAACACACTTTAGTGTCAGATTTTTCATGTGCTTGAACAATAGATAGATGAAAACAGAAATGTACTCATAGATAAAATACATGTAGATTTCTAAAAAGTACTATAAAAACTGACTACATGCTAAATAATTGTATGTGTTTACTGCTAAACTATACACCTGACTCGTAACCAACTTTCTGAAGATCAAATAGGTCAACTATGAATAATAATAAAAGGAGATAGTAGAAAAATTAATAACAGGCAACCCAAAATAATTCCTCTCCCCTGTTATTTCAGTTAAGTTTTTCTACCAGTTATATTCTTAGGAGAATCTCTCCTTTAAAGAACTGCAATTTGGGTGAAAAAGAGAAGTAATACGAAATCACTTATTCGAATATTCAATAAACATTTATCAAGTACTTACTACTACTAAGAGCTGGACCTAGGCACTATGTTAAGTGGTCAGGTTAAGACACAGTCTCTGATTCAAGTGACCCCAGGACTACTCAAAGGTCACTTTCAGGTTTATGACTCCATCATCTATCATCCTTCCAATAAATATTTCTTGTGAACCTACTACACGCCAATCACTTTCTAGGTGATTGAGATACAAATAAAACAAAGTCCTTGCTCTCCTTGGAGCGCCCATTATGGTACGGAAAGACAAGGAAACAAAAACAGGTCAAGTGACTTTAAAAAAAGCTACAGAGAAAAATAAGTCAGAGTAAAATGACAGAAGGATTGTAATTTTATTTAGGGCAATGTCATGCATTTCATGTTGAAGATATAGCTAGTGAGCAAACCTTTTTTTTACTTATGCTTTCATTTAATTGGTATCTTGAAAGGGACCAGTTGCCTCCACATCACCAAATTAAATAGGGTTTTCCCAGTCTCCATTTTCCTTTTATTTCTCTAAGCATATGATACTACTGACCACCTTCATTCTGAAACTCCACAGGTTTGCATGGAAAACTTCCTATTCTGGTTCTTATCTTTTGCCATTGGTATAACATTAACATAAGCTACACAAGCACACCTAGGATTTAATGGAGACCATCTCCTATCCAATCAAGGGAAACAGACTTTAACTGATGGGCAAATTGGACAGTACCTTTAGAAAAGACTTAATTTTGTTCTTAATTTCTAATCATTTTTGGAAAATTACATAACAATGTAAGACATTTATTAAATGTACCGAGAGTAACAACATCAAAAACTAGTACTTATATAACATGTTATATTTTATAAAGAAGCCCTTTCACAATTTTATTTATTTCATTTAATCATCATAAAATGATAATATCCTATGAGGTAGGTAATAGTTTCATATTAACAGTAAGATCCTACTTTTCAGAATTATATCACTAAAAAATTAGACTTAAATACCATCTGTTCTTTTTTTTAATAATTATTATTTTGAGACAGAGTCTCACTCTGTTGCTCGAGCTAGAGTGCCGTGGCGTCAGCCTAGCTCACAGCAACCTCAAACTTCCGGGCTCAAGCAATCCTACTGCCTCAGCTTCCCGAGTAGCTGGGACTACAGGCATGCGCCACCATGCCAGCTAGATTTATATATATATACTATATTTTTTTTTTTTAGTTGTCCAGCCAATTTCTTTCTATTTTTTAATAGAGACAGGGTCTCACTCTTGCTCAGGCTGGTCTCGAACTCCTGAGCTCAAACAACCCCCACCCCACTTCACCTCGCCTCCCAAAGTGCTAGGATTACAGGCATGAGCCATCAGGCCTGGCCTATCAGTTCTTTAATATTTGGAAAATGCTTAAAAGTATAATGAAAAACATAAGAAACATCTGAAATCCCAATATTCAAAAATAACATTTGCTAACATTTTGCTGTATTTAAAATTTCTTCCATGCCATCCTTGTTAAAGTTTAACAATTTTTTAATTGCTTCATACTAATAAGAATATTGATATTCTCTAAAAAAGAAGCTTGCTCTTTATTTAAAAATAAACCAGAATGGGGGGCAACAATGATCAAAATGACTGTGAAATCAACTCAATTTTTACAATTTTTTTTTTTAATTTTTACAATTTTTTTAAGTTGTAATTTCAAAGTCACAAGTAGAAAAAGACAAATGAAGCATATTTATTCAATAAATGTCTACATGTGCAAAGTGACATAAACAAGAGATTATATACTGAATTCTAACCTGTTCAATCTCTTTGGTTTTTGATGCTATTGCTTTAGAGCGACTGGTTAGCTGACTGTCTTCAAATAACTCTATGCCATCTGCTGCATTTGACTCAGGTTCTTCTGGCTGGTCAATGTACAATGGTGCTGTGGATCCCGCCTTGAAAAAGAATTAGAAATCTTGAATTACTGTCGTGGCCCGCTTGCAGGACGGGGGATGACACACATAAAGACATAGACATAAAACACAGACACATGAGAACTGGCTGCAGTCCCAGAAAAATGAAGTACACAGACACAAAGATGGTTGAAGACTGCAGCAGCTTAAAGCACCAGTCGTTTTATTTTTATAGTGTTTAATTGGGCAAGCGTCCCACAGCTATTTTCTCATGCCAGCTATTTTCCCAGCTACTTTTTGGTACATGACTTCCCAAGGGCCAACAGCACCTATTCCTCTAGACATAGCACAAGAGATGCCCTTCAATGTTTGATACCGTTTGCAGATAACAAAACACCTGGCTTGGTTGCATAGCACAAGAGAAGATGATGTTTACATTCTCTCTTCTATTGTCTGGTTCCGCATGCGGATAACAGACAAACTTGGCTCTCTTGGGAAACCACAGGTCCTTGGCCATCTGCAACATCTGGCACCGTGTGCAAGATAACAGACAACTTTGGCTCGCATGCGAGACCACAGGTCCTAGGCCATTTGCCCGGAGGAACAGTTCTCTCTGCTGGTCAACAAGTCACGTCCTGCTAATTGTGGGAACAAGCAATGGGCTCCCGTTCTGCTGACTTTGGGTCAAAGCCAATCTGACCCAGGGATGGCTCTTTCAATTACTTTCAAAAGGACACATAGCATTTCATACAATTTTGTGTAGGCACTAACTGGCAGACTACATTAAGAGAAAGTGCTAGGTTGAACCTGTTTCAAGAAAAGAAAACTCTTTCAATTTCACTATGCATAATGAGCATATGTGAAGCGGACTAAAGAGGAAATGATTGCTACCTTTTTTATTTTAGGTAAGACAAAACTTCTAGGTTTATTCCATTCTAAAATTACACTTCACACTATATTAAGATATAGATAGAAAGGTTTTGCCCCATGACTATGCCTTAAGCAATCTATTTGTGACACAATGAAGAGTAAAATCCAATTGGAAGTGAGTGGTGTGTGCACCCATAAAGAAATATATAAAAAGGGAACATGGGAAAGGGCTCTACTTTCAGAAGTTAAAATATCGTGCTCCTGTAGTCTAAAAATTTATTGAAATCATAAAAATGAAAATAATTCCACAAAGAAATAATGATCACTTCTACTTTAGAGCAACAAATCAATAGTGAATAAATAACCCCATGGCCTGGAGTTCATTCCCTATGAATATACATCAATATACTGTCAATTGCATCAAAAAAGAAGATGGGGGTTAAGTATGGAAGCATTCATTTATGCATATATGCACACAGACAACCTTTGGAGGGATACTATCTATGGAAAAAAGTGATAAAATGAGCTGTCTCTATAGGAACAACTTTGAAGTAAGAAGTAGGATGGAGGGGATATAATGTAAATACTTCAGCACTATTTGAATTTCTGACAAATACATCGATTATTTACTAAATGAACCTAGTTTTTTTTACAAGTTTGAGTTACATATTTTAAGGATTTAAAGTGAAGGTATGAGAATAATTTAAGAAATACATTCCACTATCAGCATCAGTTTTCTACCAGCAGGTCATTACATCCATGTTATTATTCATTCTATAACCCTCACAGTAGGCTCCCAAATTATCTATCTCCTCTCACTCCTGCTGCTTGGAAAGAAACCTTGTGATCGAAAAGAAAAGATGAGGACACAAGAAATACTGGTGAACCACAGGACACAGGGGTGCACACTAATAAGAGTCTAACTTTTCCTGGTGGTAGATAACAATTAGTTTTAGTATTCTCTACTTACAATAAACGAAAGGCTAAAGAAGTTTATTTATACTATCAGTGTTCTAACTACCCCAAGATCAAAATAATTCTACCATTAGATTCTGCTTTAAAATTAAAAAAAAAAACCCAAAGCAAATAATTCCCCCCCAAAAAATCAAAGACAAAACTAAAAAAAACATTGAAGATTTTTTTAAAATAGTAATTTCAGGCTTCATCATAACTCCAGGCTGCTAGAATTTGAATGTCCCCTCCAAAACTCATGTTGAGAATTTTTTTTTTTTTTTTTGATACAGGGTCTCCTCTGTTGCCCAGGCTAGAGTGTAGTGGTGTGATCATAGCTCACTGCAGTCTTAAATTCCTGGGCTCAAGGGATCCTCCTGCCTCAGCCTCACAAATAGCCGGGACTACAGGCACCACCTGGCTTAGTTTTCTATTTTTTGTAGAGATGAGGTCTCACAATGTTGCTTAGGCTGGTATCAAACTCCTGGCCTCAAGTGATCTTCCTGTCTTGACCTCCCAAAGTGCTGGGATTACAGGTGTGAGTCCCCGTCCGGCCCATGTGTTGAAATTTAATTGCTAATGTAATGTTACTGGGAGGTGGGACCTTTAAGAGGTAATTAGGCCATGAAGGCTGTGCCCTCACAGGTGGGTTCAATGACTTTAACAAAGGGCTTTCAGGAGTGGCTCGCTCCCTCACTCTTTGCTCTTTCACTCTGATACAAGGCTCCAGACAACATCTTGGAAGCAGAGACCAGGCTCTGCTGCCAGCATCTTGATCTTGGACTTTCCATCCTCTAAAACTATAAGAAATCAATTTCTGTTCTTTGCAATTATCCAGTCTTGGGTATTCTGTTATAGCAACATAAAACTAGGACATAGGTCTACACATAAAAATGTAAATTGGTGAGCACAGGATGCACATCAGAGCAGACATAAGTTTTGGGGAAACAAAAAGCAAATAAAGGCCGGGCGCAGTGGCTCACGCCTGTAATCCTAGCACTCTGGGCGGCCGATGCAGGCGGATTGCTCAAGGTCAGAGAGTTAGAAACCAGCCTGAGCAAGAGTGAGACCCCGTCTCTACTAAAAATAGAAAGAAATTAATTGGCCAACTAATATATATAGAAAAAAAATTAGAGCTCATAAGTAATTAAATTTAGTCCAATTAATTATTGATATATATTGTCCAAGGTACTAGAGGGGAAACAAGGCAAGTGCTTAAGATACATTCAATATATCATATATATTCAATATGTATAGCTACACAAGGAAAAAAAATTTAATAAAATTTCTAATAAAGTCACCAGTGAAATACAAAGTGGCATAAAATTTTACAGTAGGTAGGAAAGTGGAATCAAGAAAGATCTTCAGTCTTATTGCAAACACTATTGGTTCTACTGAAGGAATGTGAGTTTGAAAGAGATGGAAGATTGGCATTTTAGGCTGGGGACAAAATAAGCAGAGATACTAAAGAAGAAAATAACACCTTACAGGTGAAAACAACATAAGTCATATTTTCACATTTACATGTAAGAAAAATGTTAAAATTTTCTTCTACAGCAGCAAGCGACCTATTCAACTGGGGCCTTCTAACAGCCTTCAAATAATTTGCTTTTCCTTCTGCCAAAAGCAAAATTCTCAGAGCTATTTGCTTAAAGATGGTAAATTATATCTCTACAAAACTTGACTGCAAGCTCCTTGATGGCTAGGATGGTGTCTCAAATGCAAAGAAGATGCAGAATGAATATTTAGTGAATTTAAATAAAGTATAAGAAAGCCAGGACAGTACTCTTCTCTGAAAATATGTGCCTTGAAACACTAATCCTAAAATATATACTGAAAAAAATTTAATAGTCAAAAGTTTGATAAACTATGCAAGCTATTATTGCATCATCCTTTTGCAGAAGACTCATGAGCATATTAATATATTAAAATCTCTAAAAAGTACTGACATACCAAAACCAACCTACCTCTTTTAAATCTAGCATTTCTCAAACATACTGGCTAATAGAATCTTTTTTTCCTTCCTCAGACCATTACGACTCTTCAGTATTACTATTCTGTCAAATACTTTAGGAAATGCTGTTAGAGCCCAACAGACAGAAGTATAAAACTGAACAAAGAAATAAACTACAACATGACTATGTTTTTAAGCATGTTACTGCATTTATATTCAATTTCACTGGACTTTCTATAAACCAATTGCTTAAAACCACATTGATGGCAGCAAGAGAAGATAATCTAAGCATTCAATCTCTCTCAACTCATAAAAATGAATCTACACAGTGTTTCTGAAGTACACGAGCCATTACTTACATAGCTAATACAAAACATTGTCACAACTAGATTTAAACACAAATGCACGTGCATGTGCACACACACACAAACAGCACTATGTCAAACTCTTTCTTAGCATAAAGTGCCTTCTTTCTTTCCAGGCTATTCTATTAAATTAGGTTACAGGAGCAAAGCCAAAATTCTATTTCCCAAAAGGCACGGAATACAGAAATGAGTAACTCTTTGGTAACAGCCCAACAGATATTACTATCTGAGCAAAATATTAATAAAGTAGGATGGGACTAAGTTTATAAACAGTGTCATAAAAATTTCCCAACTGCTTTATTTCCAGTATGAAAAAGTATGAATCTGACTTGAAAAACATTTTAGACAATGGTATAAAGTTGATGATATTGTTCAACATTAACAATGTACACTAAGGAACACATTTCGCCTTTGATCCAACAGAAGATTACATTTGACCCACGACTCCACTTATAGGTATTTAGTGTTATTATTTACCTTTCACTAATTCAAAATCTAGTAAATTCTGAGCAAATTTCAGAGAAAAAACAAAGGTAAGAAAAAGTCTTTGTAGATCCAATGTCACTCACTACTCAGTGTCAGGATCCATTCAAGCAATGAAGAGAACCCAAGTGGAATATTTAAAATCTGAGAAAAGTAGTCAGATTTTATAAGAAACCAAGATTAAAAATGATGGAGAAAAGGAGAAGATGAATATACTATTCATATTTATATATATAAATAAAGCCTTGTTTTTACTAATAAAGCCAAATTTATGTGTCTATATATATTAATGAAAGCCTTGGTACTTAAAGTATTAAGGAAATAAGAAATTAGTCTTTTTGGAGGTTTTTGGTTTTAATCACTAAAATAAAAATGATCAATACTCCAAAACAGTAATTTGAAACACACAAATTTATTAGTAATATAAAAATCATTATTCTAATTTATTAAAAAAAATCTATTAAATGTGTTACTGTATTGTTCATGCTTTGAAGTAGTGCTGGAAAAGTGCCAGAAAGGGACAGCTTGATTTTTTGATACATTTACTTGAGGATATGCATAAATATCTATTATTATAGTTACAACAACAAGGAAACCATGACCTATTTGAGAACAATTGATATCTAAAAGACAGATCAGCATTTTAAAAAAGAAAGGCTCTATGTACGTTGTTGTGTACGTTGTGATAAGGTTTGCACTTTTTTTAAGCAGTGTACCTTACTTTTAAAAGGACCTTTTCATAATGTATGAGGATGTAGTTAAACATTATTTTTATGTAGATTCCAAAGCTTGATCCTTTTATCAAAGGAACTTCTGCAGAAGTCATCCAAAAATATATTAAAAAGCCAGAACTCGCTTTCAAATATAATTTGTCATAATACAGAGATTTTTATATTTTCTGTCAAAATCATTCCTCTAATAACAAATTCTGAATCTAAATGCTTAATTTTGCCCATAATCTCTTTATATTTCCCTTTTAGAGATGTTACAGGTTATATAGAAACTTTCAGTTCATTTTCAAATATTTTATTTATTTTATTTTTTTATTTTTTTGAGACAGAGTCTCACTCTGTTGCCGAGGCTAGAATGCCGTGGCATCAGCCTACCTCACAGCAACCTCAAACTCCTGGTGGCTCAAGCAATCCTTGCTGCCTCATCCTCCCGAGTAACTGGGACTACAGGCATGCACAACCATGCTCGGCTAATTTTTTCTATATATTTTTAGTTGGCCAAATAATTTCTTTCTATCTTTTTTTAGTAGATACGGAGTCTCACTCTTGCTTAGGCTAGTCCCGAACTACTGAGCTCAAGCAATCCTCTTGCCTTGGCCTTCCAGAGTGCTAGGATTACAGGCATGGGCCACTGCGCCCAGCCTATTTTCAAATATTTTAATATAAATATTTCATAAACAGTTTTCTATGGGTTCAAAAATGTTCTCTTTTGGTGCTCAAGATCCATCAATGGTCTCAGGTCACCCAAACAGTGAATAATTTCATTTTGGGGAATATTTATGAGATAATTTACATAAAGTTTAATCTACAATATAAATATAGCCCACAGTCCAAGGTTGAATTAGATTTTTGTTCTGAATTCAATGGTCTATGACTAGTAACTTAGCATGATTTCCTGAGATACTTTTAACAGCAAAGCCCATTAAAAGAAGTATATATACTTTCCATAGAGGTTGAACTGAAAAAAAAAAAAAAGAAGTATATAAATAATACATTTTTCTTATACTCCATATTTATACTAGTCTTACATTCCTAAACTCCTACAGACATTCAGACACAGTATGGTTTCTGAATTCAGAGTCATTCATATTCAGACTATCACTCTGTGTGGTAAATTTTAATACCTGTAATCCATGAGGATACATTCTGAAGTACTAGAATAAACCAAATATTTCCCACCCATAATTTAAAATCCAGACAAAACTTTCAGATGTAAAACATGAAGAAATTATACTTTACCTCATACTCAGAAATTTCAGGCAAGTTACTTTCATCTGTCTTCTCTAGCTTTTCAGCAGCCCACTTCCTTGCAGCCTCAGCAAGTTCTTTTACGGTTAGCCTACTGGGTTTGTCTAACACCTAATAAAAATAAAAGAACATTTCTGTTACAATTCTCAAGGGCTTTTAAACTGCGAATAGATCAAGAAGCATACCATCCTACTTATGCTTAAAATCATATAAGCCTTTAAATTTATATGGAGAGCAGATATATTATTTTCTCCTTAAAAAATATTCAACATAGAATTCCTTTAAGTGACAATTCCTTTGGGACATATAGACCAGATCTAAACCAATTTCATTGACATTAAACTCTAGAAATTCACATAAGGAACAAAGCAAAAGACACTGACAATTACCTGATATACTAATTGGATTTAGAATATAAAGGATACACTAGTTTCAACATTGTATTTTTAAATAAGTAATGCCAAAAGCTCATTAAAATATATTCCTAATTAATGTGATGGATAAGTCCAGATATGCTATTTTTATAATTTGTAATGAATTATGTAAATCTTCCTCATAAAAATTTTTAGACTTAAACCTCATTTTTTGATCCTACTACTAGTTCCTTTAACTACATACAATACTAAACAAGGTATAGGCTTTGGAGTTACAGACAGACCTGGGTTTGAATTGCAGTTTAATGACTTGCTAGGTAGATGATTTTTTATACATAATTTATAACACTGTGAGCCTACATTTCCTCGTTTACGAAATAGGGGTTAATATTACTTTGCAAAGCAGTTGTGAAAATTAAGAGAGGTAAAAGACCTGAAAGTATCTAGAAAAATGCATAATACTTTAGTTTTTCTTTATTTTCCACATTCATTGATATAAATATATACTAAAACATACATGAATATCATGGGGTCAATAGAAAAATAAAGAAACTAAATTGTCTTTTCTGCATTGAATAGAAGTCCCACAATATACACTTTTAAAGGCTTATGTTATAGAATAAGATGTGAAATTTTAAATTATAAATTTAAAAATTCTTTCCTTATACCTTTATGGTAACTCTCTGATTTATTCTATTTCCTTAGCATACATTTTCATCAACGAGGCCCTCTCATGCCTAATTGTTCCCCCCTATCTCTCTTCTCTAAACTCAGATCACTGATTCCAAATATATCTCTGGATGACAGTGCTGGTAAAAACCACCATCTTATGGTGCACTGCCATTTACGAAGTGCTTTTTATTTACAAACCCAAAACTTTATTTTAATTAAATAGAATTTCATGAAGGTGTTCTGTTACTCTAACTTACAACCAAGAAACTGAATGATGGTGACTAAAGTCACTAATAAATGCTGAGTTGGGACTTAAAACTAGATCTTTTAAATGGAAATAGCACTTGATCTCTTTCCATACTTTATTAAATTCATCAATCTACTGGCTGGCCATCTATAATATTTACTGGAAGATTAAACCAATACACCTACATGAAGTATATTCTGCAGCTATTGAGAAACTTTACTCCAAAGCCCTATTCGTATATTAATACTAGTTTAAAAAAGTATTATTGGCCGGGCGCAGTGGCTCACGCCTGTAATCCTAGCACTCTGGGAGACTGACACGGGTGGATTGCTTGAGGTCAGGAGTTCGAAACCAGCCTGAGCAAGAGTGAGACCCCCGTCTCTACTATAAATAGAAAGAAATTAATTGGCCAACTAATATAATACAGAAAAAAAACTAGCCAGGCATGGTGGCACATGCCTATAGTCCCAGCTACTCAGGAGGCTGAGACAGGAGGATTGCTTAAGCCCAAGAATTGAGGTTGCTGTGAGCTAGGCTGACGCCACGGCACTCACTCTAGCCTGGGCAACAAAGTGAGACTCTATCTCAAAAAAATTAAAAAAATAAAATAAAAAGGTATTATTATTTACTTATTACAAGGATAATAATTACTTACTATTTATTAGAAGGTTTTTTAAAAAAATAAGTTTTAGAAGAAGAAAACACACACACACACGAATATATCCAAGAAAAAAAATTTATACTCTGTCATTTTGTGGGGAGGGGCACATATCTGTGTAAGAGAAAGTTATAGAACAATAACAAATATTTATATGAATTCTCTCTAGTAAATAATGAAGCAAAAACATACCATCAAGTTATTAAGTATGGAATGTCAGATTTCCTTAAAGTACTAAGTTGGACTTTTGATATCTCTGACGTTTCACTTGACACTTGTATTTTTTATTTTTAATGTGAAGGTACATCCTCATTCTTTCAAACACACATTTGGCTTGTAATTATCTTTCACATTTTTTAGAGAATTTTTGTGGAACCTTGGATAAGTCAAAAATTCATGTTATTTTTGAATATGAGCGGAACCAATGCAGCACAGAAAGCTCAAAATATCAATGAAGAGTTTGGGAAGGACATGGCTAATGAACGCACAGTACAATGATGGTTTGAGAAGTTCCATTCTGGTGATTTTAATCTTGAAAATGAGCCATATGGGTGACCTGAGACTAAGATGGATAATGATGAACTGAAAGCTGTAGTGGAAGCAAATCCATCTCAACCTACTCGTGAACTAGCAGCAGGGTATGACGTTACTATTCCAACAATATCAGACCATTGAAATAAATGGCAAGTCAAAAGCTGGATAGATGGGTACTGCAAGAATTAAACAGCCATCAGTAGGGAAGCTGCCTTTTCTGTCAGGACATAAAGGCAAACCATTTCTATACCATTATTGTCACATGTGATGAAAAATGAATTCTTTTTGTTGTTGTTATAGCACAACTTATATATTTCAAATGAACAAAAAATTAGTATCATTTCAATATATCTTATGATAAACTGCCTTGAAGTGGGAGCTTCTTTCCAGTACTTTGAGTCTACAGGACATATCCAGAAAATTTACTACTGTGGAAAATGAAGACTGCTTAAATCAAATGGGGATAAAGGAATGGGCCTGTGGTTTTTCTTTTGATTAACTGCTGTAACACTGCCCTTCAGGTGGCTAAGGGAGTTTCATATTTTCTTTAGACATCATTAGGTGCTGAAGATCTTGCAGGACACCTTTGATGCTATATGAATTCTGCCAGGTTGCTAGCACTGATATGGGCCTTGGATCCACCACTTCATTAGAACTATTAACTCCATTCATATTAATTTTTTATAAATATTATAAAGTGGGGTGCTTCTGGGTATTTAGGTCCAAATTCCATTTTAAGGCTGTATATTCAGTTTTCATAAATTGTCTGAGCCTGTGGTGGCTGCCATCTTGCATAGCTGTCTCTCTGAAAAATTGATTCTTTTTGACAACCGCAAGTGTTCAGCACATTGATTGGATAAAGACAAAATGCAGGGAACACAGTACAAAAGCAAATATTCATCATAAAAAGCTAATCGTGTCTGTTTGGTGGTCCAACACTGCTTTTGTCCACTACAGCTTCCTGAAATCTGGTCAATCGATTACAGAGGATGTCTACTGAAGCCAACTGGATGAAATGATGAGGATGCTTGTGATTAAACAGCCAAGATTGGTCAATAGAAACAGGCCAATCCTCTTGCAGGACCACATGTGGCAAAAAAAAAAAAATGCTGCTCAAACTACAGAAGCTGGACCTGGAAACACTCTGTGTTTCCACAGCTTTCCCAGAAAGCTGGTTCATATGTAATAATTTAAATTTTCATAGTAACTTGAATGGGCAGGTACTATTTACTCTTCTTTCATTTATTACTTCCAACAAGCAGTGGAAAATGCCTTTCACGATTTCATTGCCACTCATTCTCCAGACTTCTTTGCTGCTAGTATAAGCAAGCTATGTTAAGATCACAAAACTATGTTGACAGTCTAAACACAGACTTTGATTAACTGTACTGCTTCTTATTTGAGATACAATAAACTAAACTTTTGAACCAAAATCAGGCATTTCATATTTAATGACCTAATATAATTTAATATTTTTATTCATCTGCTATTAAATCTGTACAGCTGAAAACCTATCATTTGAAATTAACTTCTAATAGCAGGAAATAAGTATTCCTATGTGAGGGCCATCATAATGTTTACACAAAAAAGTCCTCCACCAAATCAGAAAATCTAGGTAAATAAAGCTCCCCAGAGCTACCATGTGACCCTGGGCAAAGGACACAGTGGGTAGCACTTTCCCAACACATAAAATAATTATAGATCTAAAATTCTGATATTGATTCCATTTTAAGACTTTGTGGTCTATGTAACAAAAACATAAACATCTAAGTGAAGCTATCAGTCAGGAGTAGCTAAATCCATTTTGGTTGTTTCCCACTAAACATATCTTAACATGTAGCACAAAGCCCTATGTCATAACCTATATTTAAATAGCATTATATTTCAGAGGAAATGAATATTTCATACATAATAAAAAAATTTAAATTTTCATACTAACTTGGATGGGCAGGTACTATTTACTCTTCTTTCATTTATTATCTACCAAGAAAAATAAGCCAGTCTTTCTGATGGGGTAAGCACCCTTATATGGTTAAGACAAAACCAAATAATCCAATCAATCTTTGCTATTCAAAGCCCAGCATTCTAGAATCCTCAAAGTATTCCAAAGATACATGTCGTCACAAAGAAACGACTTGAGAAAGAGAAGCAGCTGCCCCCTGTCAGATGATACCTATTCTTGCTGAAAAGCCAAAAATATAGATAGAAGAAGAACCAAAAGAACAGAAGTAACAACAGCGATGGTCAAGAGAAACGGTATGAGATTTATCAACAGAAACTCCAACTGAGGAGAACAGATAGAAACAGCAACTTGTCAAATTTTTAATTTTTTTAGGACTAGAAGCATAATTCATCTTTTCAACATGTTTTGAGATGATGGAAAGGTAGGAATCAGAAGAATGATAAAGCTATGTCCTTGAGAAAATTATTTAACTTCTGAGCCTTCACCCTGTTATAAAGATATATACCTACTTATATCATAGGATTTCTATATGAATTAATGCAAGACAATAATATAGTATCGAGAATTGGCTAGTTATATAATAAGTGTTAGGTCTCTGCCTATACCCCAACTCCTAAAATTAAAGCACAATCGCACCAAATATGCTCCATCTGAATATAAGGCCCAGCTGGTTATGGTCAAGATGAGAGCAAGGGCTGTAGCAGTAAGTACTAATTTTAGCATAACCTGTAAAAAAACCTATGAGAAAACCATCTATTTGGTAGCTATCTTTCAAGTTGTAATTACTTAAAATTCAAGTTTTTATATTCAGCAAATTAGTCCTATAGATATAACAGTAAAGAATATAAGCATCTGTACTAGACAGCCCATTTCATTTACCTTGTAATTCTTTAAACTGATTTTAGAAATATAACAAACCTTTGATGATGGAACTGCTGTAGAACTTGAGGGTGAAGTATCTCTTGATGTTTTCAAAGACTGTACAGGCCTCTCTTTATCTATATAAAAAAAGTAAGATGTAATTTTTTCTAGCTCATTCGTTTTCAATTAAATGATTCTGTAACGGAATTAATGAAGGGGATCATATACTTATTTTACTGCTAAAATTTTTCATTACATCACTAAATTAAATATATTAACATCTAAAACTACCTATCTCTCTCAGAGGCTGAGCATCATCAAAAATCTGAAATAACTTAGAACTAAATGACATCATATAAAGTCATGTAGACCACATACTGCCAGTTAGCAAACATGAAGCCACAGAGAACACACAGAAAGGCAAAACACATTTTAAAATCATGACTGCTTCCTCTTCATGTTTCTAAATGCTAACTTTTAACATATCACCATAAAAATACATGAGTAGTTATCATATAGATACTACCAAAATAAACTAGCTAATTAAGGGGTAGCTCAAGGCTAGAGATGTATACAGGAAATTTAGCAGATATTCCTGAAATGTTTAGACAGTTTACAAAATAAAATTAGTAAACTATTACTCAGAGCACTAATGTGGTGCCTAGCATGCATGAATATCCAAATATTTGTTTCATGGTTGGAAATAAACCTGTATGAGATAAGGTCACTAAACTTAATCACTTCAGATATTCACATGGTGCTGTATGTTAATCATTTTTTATAGAAACTTAAGCCAGAAAATACATTCAAACAATATTATTTCAGCTCGTTCAACAACTACCAAAAAGATGAGTTTATGCTGGGCATAGTGGCTCACCCATAATCCCAGTGCTTTGGGAAGCTGAGTTGGATTTGCTTGGGGCCAGTAGTTTAAGACTATTCTGGGCAACATAGTGACATCCCCACCTCTACAAAAAATGAAAAAATTTAGCAGGCACAGTAGCATGCACCTCTAGTCCCAGCAACTCAGGAGGCTGAAGCAGGAGGACTGCTTGAGTCCAGGAGTTGGAGGCTGCAATGAGCTATGATTATGCCACCACACTCCAGCCTGGGCAACAGAAAGAGAGATATTGTCTCTTAAGTAAAAAAAAAAAAAGATGGGTTTAGTTAAATATAATCTTAGAAATTAACAACAATGAGCTATTACTGGCAGAAAAACATCTCATTAAATTGTCTATATGTGTCATATATAACATATAATCTTCCTCTGCTCTTAGTTACTATAACTAACAAAACTAAAAATACGAAGAGAAATTGGCACCAAGTTTGGAGTCACACAGAAGCTGGTCAAGACTGGACAGTGAGTTAAGGCCAGGAAAGCAGTCAAGAGCAAAAGCAGAGACAAAAAGATCTTGAAACTGAGGCAAAGCCAGCTTCAGTCAAAAAGCCTCTTAAGCTCTTTCTGCCAAAGCCAAGAAATACTGCTAAGTAAGGGCCTGGTAGCTCAAAGACTACTGACCCCTAGGGCAGTGGTGAATAACACCTCTTTCCAAGGTCATGCAGACCAAAAAGGCTTTCTCTAGACTGGTGGTTCCCAACAGAGGACAATTTTGCACCTTCCCTTTTCCCCTTCCTAACATCTGGCAATGTGTGAAGACATTTTTAAATGTCACAAGTGGGAAAGTATCACTGGCATATGGTAAGCAGAGGACAGGGATGCTATTAAATATCCTGTTATTGGTGTCTGTCCCCGATATCAAAGAATTATCCAGCTTCAAAAGTCAATATTGCAGAGGTTGAGAACCCCTGCTCAAGGCTAAGTATTCCAATTTTGAAGCTCCAGCAGTTTTTATAAAGCCACAACCCTAGAGTCTTTTAACTTGTTGGTACCATTAAGAACTTTTAATGTTGCTTAGTGTGAAAGTCTCTGTAGACCTTAAGAATCAAAAGAAAAATAATACAAACCACCACTGCATCCCAAATGACCAAGAACATGATTTATTTAGTCATTCCTTATTGTATTTTCATTGAAAGTGGCAAACTCCACATTGCACTGTGATAGTATCGGGGTCTATCTCTGCAGTCCCCCAATCCCCAGGTCTTGGACTGGTACCACTCTGTGGCCTGTTAGGAACCGGGCTGCACGACAGGAGGTGAGGTGCAGGAGTTGGAGGGGGGGAGTAAGCAAAGCCCCATCTGTATTTACAGCCTCCCCCCATCGCTCGCATTGCTGACTGAGCTCCGCCTCCTATCAGATCAGAGATGGCAGTGGATTCTCATAGGAGCACGAACCTTACTATAAACTGCGCACGCAAGGGGTCTAGGTGCTCCTTATGAGCATCTAATGCCTGATGATCTGAGGTGGAGCCAACACGGTGATGCTAGCGCTAGAGAGTGGCTGCAAATACAGATTATCATTAGCAGAGAGGTTTGACTTGATAATAAACACAATGTGCTCGAATCATCCTGAAACCCCACCACCAATCTGTGGAAAAATTATCTTCCATGAAACCGGTCCCTGGTGCCAAAAAGGTTGGGGACTGCTGGTCTATCCCATTACACCAAAGTCCCTAGAGGAATAAGTATCATAGCTTATTTATTTCTGAATATCCACAGCCTACTTAGTTCAAGTGCTTAAAGACACAAGTAGGCACTCAAAAATTAAGTAAAAAGATGAATCTTATTTTTCCACCCTTAGGATACAATGATCTCCCCATCCTATTCAGATAAGCAGTCCTTTGAAAGAAGATGAGGTGCTAGACCAATCAGCACAATACACTATGCTAATTAAAGGTAGGCTCAATTCTAGCACCTATGATCTAGACACACACACACACACACACACACACACACACACGCAAGCACACAAAAATCCTTCACAAGCAGCTGTTAATATTTTGCTTAGCATTTCCTTTACAAATAGGACATCTGTACTACAGTATGCCAACTATAGTCCCCAAGTATAGTCTTAGGACCTTTCCTGATTTTAGCTGCTCAAAGGCTAATTTAAGTAACCAATTTCATGTGCAGAAGCAAAGGAACACTGAAGGATAGGGCAGGAGGTTTATATATCCACATATATTCATGTATACCTGTTGCATGAATGTCAAGGGCAGGCAAGAGGCAAAGGACAAAGAAAAAGATGATAAAGATAGCAGCAGAAACAGCATAGAAAAGGTAAATAGAAATTGCTTGATCCTACTGTTGGCAGGTCCTATCTGCCAATGGCCTCTCTATTCTATAGATCTCAGCCTCATATGGGGTGGGCTATTTCTGATCAGGAATGGCTAGCCCAGACAACCAAGCCACATATCCCCCAAATCCTACTACCTGAGTCTACTGCTGTTCAACTCTGGTTCTGACTATAGTCTAATGGAACAGTTGCGTGTTTTCCCATTTCCATAACCTCAATCAATTCAAGCCTCCCACCCCCTGATAATCCCAAATCAGAATCTAGCTCAAAACTCACCTGTTCCTGGCTTTCTTTTATTCTGCCATTTGTAGGAAGCACCAGCACGCATGGACTCTAGGGAAAGGCGGGCAGGGAGGAATTAACACAAGCACCTCTGTGCCCAAGAGGCATAAAAGAAGAACCCAGGAGTAGGAGTGATGAGAACAGGAACTCCTCAGCATTTACTGGTGACCCTAAAACCTTTCCTTCCCTGCTATCAAGTTGGGCTGCCTGAGCAACCACCAATGAAGAGGAATAAAGAACAGGAAGAAGCTGATTAGAAGTTAAAGATAAGACCAGTCAAGGACAGCACAGGCACAAAGGAATGAGAAAAAGTTTCTATTAAGGTAAGACTTTGAAAATTGAAGACAAAGATTGTGCCTTACTCGTCATAGCAAGTATCTAGTCTAATTCTCTCCATAGAGTTGACATTCAAAGGACTGTTAAAGGATCTCTCTTCTCCCACACACATACACAATCAAGAGTGAAAGATGAATCACCACTAGAAATCAAAAAGGATACTGGGAAAGTTTTCAAATAGGCATTCTGACTTGTTCTCACCAAGGAGTCTATTACTAAATCTTGCTGATTCTTTTTATACACACTGTCTCATATATGAATTTTCTTTAGAAACAAATCCACAGCTACTGTCTTGGTTGAACCTCTAATTATCCCATATTAAGAATCTTGAAATATTTGGTTAAGCTTCCTTACCTGCAAACTCTTAATAACAAAGATAGAATTGGCATTTTATAAACAGCCTAAATACACTAGTCAGAGCTCCCAGGTATTCTTCCCATAAAATGCAAACTCCTTAAACATTTATTTCAAATCTTTCCATAATAGATCTCAAATTGCCAATTATATTTCTTTTTCTGAGAAAACTAACACAATTCTTCTGAATTGTTTTGGCATTGTGAGTACCTTGCCTTGAAATGTTCCAAGAAATATTACATAGGCTAGGTACAGTGGCTCATGCCTATAATCCTAGCACTCTGGGAGGCCAAGGCAGGAAGATGGCTTGAGGTCAGGAGTTCAACACCAGGCTGAACAAGGGCGAAATCCCCATCTCTATTAAAAATAGAAAAAAATTACCCAGGTGTGGTGGGACATACCTGTAGTCCCAGGTACTTGGGAGGCTGAGAAAGGAGGATCACCTGAACCCAAGAGTTTGAGGTTGCAGTGAGCTATGACCACACCACTGCATTTAGCCAGGGCAAAAGAAGAGTGAGACTCTGTCATTCATAAATAATCACATAAACACTGCCATTTTTCTTCTGCAATAATGTTGAGGATGCAGTATCCTTTTCTCATTATTCACTGGTATCCCTGGCATCAGGCAAGTTTTGTTTCTCCCAAGTAGCTGATTTGTTTTTATGTGAGGGACACTGTGAACACTATTATTGTTCTTTTTGCTTTGGCCAAACCCTTAGTTCACCTACAGCAATTGTTCAGAGCCTTATGAAAGGCATTTATTTTACACACTACTAACTTTATTCTTACATTTATTTTCCTATTCTTATTTCCCTTTTACATAAAATTCATTTATTTAATCTTATTTTATTAAGTGTTTATTATGTTAAGCTGCCTCAAATTCTTTCTTAAGTCAAATGATAAGAATAGTGATGTTTTACAGAAGTGTACAAGACCCTTAGGGCCAACTCATTAGATAGAGTGGACGACAGGCATCCATCTCTTCCAAACTTTGCATTCAGTTACTCCACACTGGTAGCCTGACATCAACCATGAATGGCAGTTTTCACTCCACCCATATCAGCAATTGCTACAAATAGGTCTTTTTTGACCCTGAAGAGTTATTTCACCAACACACTTGGGGGTGTGTTTACTGATTTTGGTTCCAAATTTCAGAGAAACTGTAAGAATTACCACATTTATTTATAGATTCCCAACCATGTTGCCTTAAGGAGGCCTGAACTATTTAATAATCTTCTAACAGACTAGTAAAAACCACCCAGTGAATTACAGAATCATGAACAAGTTAGTTATTCTTTTAATTCACTAAGTTTTGAGGTATTTTTTTTTTTTTAGTTTTGAGGTATTTTTACTAACAAGAGAATAATAGAAACACCACCATTGTGTTTAACTGCTTCATCCCCCCCAAAGTTTCTCCTGATCTGCTCATGTTAAAGGTCTCATTCTTCTTGTCCTTTACTATAGCATTTTTGTGATTTATAAACCAGTTTTTAACATTGGCCATTTGCTTTTCATGCCTTTGTACTTCAGTGTTTGTCCCCCTATATCTTCCTAACTATATGTTTTCTCTTTCTTTTCTGTTGGTTATTGTTCCTTAAATATGAGTGTTGCTTCTAATCTCAATCCTTTTTGCTTTGCTATTTTTACTTGGCTCCAACTAACACTATGAATATAAATGTCTCTAAAATCTGCCTCTTTCACTCACTGTTTCACATTTTGAGAGGATGCTACTTCTTAGCTATTTAGCCATCACTTCAAATTCATCTCACACATGATCTTAGCAAGCGGACATGACTCCTTGGTTGAGAGCAAGGTAAAAAGGCTCAAAACATTCCTGCTTTGCTGTGACCTGCTAAGGAAAATGAGTTCCAAATCACAATGCAGAAAAGGAACTAGGAAAAAAATTTCTGAAGTGGAAGTATAGAAATTAAAATCCATGTCTACATATCGGTGAGTGAAAGAATAAATTTGGAAGAAAGAAATGAAAAGGAATTTCAAATACTGGTTCCAAATGCCAGATAAAAATTTTTCTCCATTAAGATGAAATCAAAAGCTAGAAAAGCAGTTTAATGTACCAAAAACAGTCATGAAGTTCTGGAAGAGTTTCACAGTATTTGGTGGCTCCTTGAATATCATAGCCAAATGCAAATCTGATATGACCTTTCAGAAACATACTTTCATCCTGATGTGTTTACCTGCTGAAAACACTGATAAGCCTAACCAGATTAAACCAACTCTGTCAAGTACTATTTATTATTGATAAGCCATGTAGGAGCAAAGAACCCTGCAGGGAAAAAACAGAAATTACCATTAGAGATGATAAATTAGGGATAAACTATTGGATTCTTGGTACAGTGCTTGCCAAATAGGCACATGCAGGTACTTATGAATGGGAGTCCTACCAAGAAACAAACTTCATAACACAGGCACATTCGTCACTTCTTTAACAACTGATGATTTGATAGAGACATTAAGATATTAACAGATGAAGGTATGGCTACATACATGCTGAGAAAATGATTTGTTTTTCTGGATCATGGATGAAGATAGAGAAATTTGGGGCTCTTGGTTAGGAAGAACATGATTTCTCAGAGATCTAGTTTATTCAAGAAGATACAAACAGAAAATGGAGAGACAAAGACATCAAAAGGTGACAGAAAAAATAAACTGGTAGATGGGTGAAGAAAGCTTTGTACCACCTCTGCTTCCCCCAAGATCGATTTTTAGGAGGTCAGAGATGCAACAAGTTGAAGTAAAGACCAATTGACTCAACACTTAGAAGTGTACTTCTAAGTAGAGTTCTCCCTTAATACATCAGCTAAAACCACATGGGCTCACTTAAAAACATGTAAGTAAAACATTACATCATCTGCATTCATTATGAACATGTGCTACTGACAGAACTAAGTTCTGAAACAGGGATACTATAAAATGCCTACACCAATGGCATTAGTGATTGTTTTAGAACCTCCATCATTAAGATGCCAGAAAGGCTATAGCTGTACTTCCAGGATTCAGCCAGGAAACTCACAGCCAAAGCTCTCTTGTGAGTAAACAATGCATTCTCAGACAAGAATAATATTTATAGAAATTAATTCAACAGCACATTAATAGCCTAGATCAGTTAACAAACCAGGAGTTTTCAGGAAAATAGTAAATTATACTTCAGAGACTCCACATGACATAGCTCATTCCAATAATCCTTCTCTACTGGCATCCTTCCACCAACTTCTACTTATCCTTCAGATATCATCTAAAATGTTTATCCCTATTTTATTTTTAATTACTTGTCTCCCTCACTAGATCATAAACTCAGAGGGCAAAGACTAGATTTGTCTTGCTTGGCAAACCATTTATGCTCAATATATTTTTGTTGAATAAAAAACTGTATGTGTATTAAACACAATATAATGGCTTTCAAACCAAGAAACACTATAGGTATTTAGCTGCTAAGATATTTGCATTCAGTTACTCCTTCTGTCTAATATTTATTATCTGATGCTCAAGCCTTATATCTATATTTCCATTACCACTTCAAACCTACACAGAAAAGCCTTCTCTCTAAATGCAGAATTGAACTTCAAAATTCCATTTTGGAGAATTTCACCTATAATCCTAAAATCCTTGTGAACTTCAAAAATTTATTTATCGCTAACAGGTCTAAAGACATATGTCTTTTCCTATTATACTAAAGTTCAATAATGGACTCTATCTTCCAAGTATACATGTCTCAAAACAGCACTTTTAATTCTTGTATACTTTCAGTTATTTTATAAGATGTATTTTTAAAAAGAATTAAACAACACTAAAGTGGCTCAATGGCAGTAATATTCATTTGGTGCTGGTCAGGTGGGAGAGGGGTGGTGGGGGTAGGTAAACTCACAACTAAAGGACGCAAAGAGCACTGCATGCGGGAAGGGCATGCTTGTAGCCCTGGCTTGGGCAGGGGAAAGGCATTATATGTAACCAAAATGCTTGTACCCCCATAATATTCTGAAATAAAAAGGGGGCGGGAGTGAAACCTTTTAAATATTCTAATTATAATGAATGTAGTGTTTTTATATACATACAACCCTACATTTCAAAATTTATAACATTAAAATCTAATGACATATTCCCATTATATAATGTGCATTTTTGGTACTGTGTTATTTCAGTATATAAGGTTTTGCCTACAATTTGTAAGGCAAATACTTTGATTCTAATTAAATAATCAATAAACATAAACAAACTGACCTAAAAAAAGGAATTAAACATTGATTAATAATAATCTTCCCTTAAAACACCATCTAGTCTTAATGGTGGCTGCTATTGAGAAAATAAGGGGAAGCTAGGCCCAAAAGAGCAATAGAAAACTAGACAGGCAAGTTTAATAATAATAAACTTGCAAATCGTCCACAGTAATGATATTTTATTTCTTCACTAACACATTGTAAGAGATATTTTTAAATTTGAACCAAAATGTGACACAGCCTAATAAATATAAGAACATTACTATGAAATTGGACATTAATCCCTAGCAAATGTTTACAATGAAATAACAGAGGTAGTCCGTAAGTACTTACATAATTAACCCTAGGAGCCACAGTAGATTTACAAAAACAAAGCAAGGCAATCTTTGTGCCACAGTTTTGACAGAGGAAATGCTTTATAACTTAAATTGTTTCAAGAAAGAAACTGACAAGGTCTTCCATGACATCAAGTGGAAATTAAGAAAGGTAGTAGTAAAGGTAGAGGCACAATTGGTGATTAACAGCAAACAACACAGAAATCTCTAGAGAGGTTCTAGATTTGGCCTGATGCAACTCCGCATAATTATTAATGATTAATACAAAACACATAAAGCATACTCAATTGGCAGATAAACAAGCTGTTCTTATCAGGTGCTAATATACAGGATTATTAAATGAGATTTTAAGATCTCTATAGAATGGAATAATAAGCCAAAGTTAATTAGATGAAATTTAGCATTTCTATATAGATTTTTCTTAATGCCTTAATTACACACAAAATTGCACCTGAAAAAAAGTACAGCCTGAAGGGTATTTAATTTAAAAGTATTATATCTGAAAATTACTTAGGTTTTAGTTGCCAGCAATCTCAGTAAGGGCTACTAATGAAATGTGGTTGTCAAAATAAAAGTTCACTTCTGGTGTTAACTTAAAGGAACAGATGGAAAATTAGGAAAACAAAAGGTCTGGAAACCATGACAAATATAAGGAACGGCAAAAAAAAGAAAAAAAAAATATATATATATATATGTATATATATATATAAAATTTAAACCTGGAAAAAAAATCAAGAAGGATATGACAGTATTCCCATACATAAAAGCTTACAACATGAAAGGAAGAAATATCTTCATATATACATACATGGCTCTAAGTTAAGAAGATGTTACTGGAAAAGATTTTAATTCCTTTTATAAAGATTGACCTATCTAAAGGTACAAGAAGTGGATTGTGATTTAGCAAACTTATCAAAAGTACTTTAACAAAGAATGGGTGTGTGAAATTGAACTTAGTGATTTCTTGCATCACTTTTAATGTTATCCTAAATAAACGGTAAATGACATAAGTACAAGACAGGAAAATATGGGATTCATTTCAAAGAGGGGAGAAAAAAAGCAAAAAAATATTGCAGAGTTAACAAATGTGGAGATACTGAGTTAGATTAATTATAATACAAATAAACTTCAAGTAAAAATATTCAAGGTATACATAACAAAACAATTTTAACTAGGAAAGTATCATAATAAACAAGGAGAAACAAAATGAAGTTCACTAGGACAACCTGCACTGCTGTCATGTGAAAATGAACAAAAGGAACTAAAAATAATATTGCATTCATAGCTATGTCCAGGTTAGCCCAACTAAGCTAAAGTCACAAAATTCCTGTAAGTGAAAAACAGGATAAAAACAAGTTTGATCCAGAAGGATAATTAGTCTGAAGCAGTACAAAGTTCCGTAAGATTAACCCAAAAGGCTAAGTAGAAGAAATTTAAGTGTATGTGCGCATGTACACACGTGTGTAAGCACAAAATAGGAAATAAACCACTGAACTAATAATGTAGTAAAAATCACTCTGCAGCTTAAAATTAAAAACATAATGATTTTAAATGCATATTAGCCTTTGAACAGTTACCAGGGCCAAACCACTTGTGATCACTAAAACAGGTACAATTCTAAAGTATGAACAAAAAGCAAAAAGTTAAAAGTTAATGAATTATGAAATGAGACCATAAGAAAATTATTTGAAACTGTTATTTACATATATAAAACACATTTAAAATCTTTGTCAGGAATTTCAATTTACATTAGAAAACTAAATTCTAACCCACTGCTAATTAACCTAGCTTAAACAACTGATAATTGAAGAATCCTGTTTCTCAGTCCTTTTTTTGAAGAAAAGTCAGATGCCATCAGTGTTTGTGACATTTAAAGTAAAACATTGATATCATAAGAGAATTGCTTTTTCCATTTATTGTCTAAAACAAGATTTCTCCATTAACTGTTTTTTTTTTTTCTTTTTCTTGGAGACAGAGTCTTACTCTGTCACCCCAGCTAGAGTGCAGTGGCATCATAATAACTCACTGCAACCTCTAACTCCTACGGCTCAGCCATCTTCCTCTCTCAGCCTCCCAAGTAGCTGGGACTACAGGCATGCTCCCTCATGCCAGACTAATTTTTCTATATTTTGTAGAGACGGGGTCTCACTCTTGCTCAGGCTGGTCTTGAACTCCTGACCTCTAGCAATCCTCCTGACTAGGCCTCCCAGAGTGCTAGGATTACAGGCACAAGTCACCATGCCCAGCCCTGTCCATTAACTTGTTACAAGATGATCTTATGTAACTATTCTGAAAGCATGAAAGGAATATAGAAAACATTTTCATAGTTCAGCCCAAAGTAGTTAAGGAATTAACCAAGGCAACCTGTAAACAGAGTTTTCCCGAATCAAACTTTTTTCCCTGATTAAAGAATTCTTTACTTTCAAAGCTAAATGACTCACCATCTGGGGGATAGTCATGCTGGAGACTCAGACTTGTGGGGAAAGGGGGGGAAGGGCATTTATTGAAACCTTAGAATCTGTACCCCCATAATATGCCGAAAAAAAAAAAAAAAGCTAAATGACTAAAGAAAATAAACTTTTAGGAATAGTCATATGCTCTGTTTCATTCAAGTGATCCCATATTTCAGTCTCTCAATTTTTTCTGTTATCTTTTCATCAATCCAGATATTAAAGGTATTAGACCTCAAAAGATTGGGCAAGTATATGGAGACCCTAAGACAGGAGCATTGCATTGTGGCTTATCCATATTTCATCTCAAGATTTTAGAGTTTTTGCCACTAAACGGCTGAAAAGGAGATCAACAGAGAGAAGATGCTCTTCCCCAAAATTTCTATTTTTGAGGAGAAATAGAAAAGGTTAATTTATCAATAACTACCTTTAATAGTTTCACAAGCTGCCAAATAAGAATCCATTTTACTCATGTTTTGTTAAAAAGGCTTCGTAATCAGTTTCCAAACATACTTTCTCCCTCTTTAATCAAACCATTATTAGATTTGGATTTAAGTCAATACACATTAAAAAAGAAGTTCTTAGAGGGTACTTTGCTAATTTTGGATATGTTTGTATATACTGATCGTTCATTAGAGTTTAGACTCTATCATTTATCTTCTTGAAGGTTTTTTCCCTGGTGGTAGGTGTGGCGGATATAAAAACAAAAAATACTTGTTAACACTAAACTCTACAGTAAAACTTCTAGTTACCTAGAACTGTCCTTAGGAGCACACCTTAAGCAATCAGGCATATGTAAGTGGCTGTGTTTGTTTTAAATCCCTCAAATGACATTCTTATCGCCTATATGATCATTCACACACCTATATACAAAAATATTTTGGGGGATGCCCCACTCTCCCTATCTTTTCAAATAACAGACAATTGATAAATGTTTGCTAAACACAAGAATCTAGCAATAGCTTGAAAGGAAGACAATCTGATGACTATTAGTCATCTTCCATCACTCTCACTATGCAGGAGGTGAAGGCTGTTAAATTTAAACTCTAATTATTTGAAAAAGACAGTTAATGAGAAGAAAATGAAAAATAAAAGAAAAAGAAATATTCTGGACATTTGTGTATCTTGGTTCATAATTCCTTCTACTTAGAAGACACTTCTCAACTCATATTATGGAAATCTGAAATAAGGTTGAATCCAAATGTCATCTCCTTCATGACATGTTCTTCTATCCCCGGAGTAAGACTTAATCTCTCACTTTGACATGCTCACTTCATGTTAATTTCAATTATGATATAATTCTTATATCAAAGTTATATCTTATATATGTATTAACATATTGATAGATATTAGCTGGTAGAAAATATATATACATATATTCTAGTTTAGAGACAGGGACATCTTTGTATCTTACACAGTGCCTTGCACCCAGAAGGCTCAAGGAAATGTTTTGTGAATGAGCACCACTGCAGGCTGTAGTCTAGAAAGATAATATAAGAACGCTTTATCCAGAAAAGTGGTTGCTTCATGTATTTGTTCCAGTACATACTAAGCAACTCAGGAAGGCATGCTGTGAGTGCACACAATGCTATGTACATCCAGGCACTCCAAACTTTAAAAAAAGGGAGGTAGGAAAAAAATGAATCTAAGGTATGTGTTAGCTCTAAATTCTACAAGGCTATACCATATTACGTAGAGAAGACCACTGATATTTTTAATGGAAAATAGACTATCAGATATATACAGATATCCCCTAATGATAGAAGAATAAAGAGGCTGGACTGGCACAGGAATTACCAGAAAATATGAGTGTATAACTTTAAGGCATGATTACAAAGACCTCTCTTACATGCTGAAGAATTTAAAGGTGAAATGTCATGCACAATGTAACTTCAAATAGTTCGAAAAAATGTGTGTGTATGGTATTCATTATACTACTCTTTCAACTTTTCTGTAAGTTTGAAAATTTTCAAATTAAAAAGTTAAAAAAATATATCTCTTATAATACCTAAAGGCAACCTAACTCCATACATTCTCATCAGCGGAGATTGTGAAAGAAAAAGGAAAAGGCTTAAAAATACATACTTCTATATTGAGACTGATGGAAAGAGTATGCTTTGCTTCTTTCTGGAGAGTAGCTTCTACTACTGACACTGGAGCCAGATCTGCTGTGTGGAGAATCCTTTCGGCCTACAGGCGATTCTCTGAAAAGCGGATTATCCCTTTTATGAGGAGACCGGTCTCTCACATAATGGGAAGAAGAGTGGAAGCTTTTTCTTCTAAAGCCATCTCTCATGTCCCTTTGGAAAAAAACATAAGATAAGTTGATTGTACCCTGTACCATACACACACACACACAAACACAATGGCAAAAGCTCTGATTACAAGCTATACTTTATTTTGCAATCTTGGTTCCCTTTTTCTACCACCACGTAATTGTTGAAGTCAGTTAACAAAATGAAACTGTATCATTGAAATGTGATTTATAATGCATTCTTTTTCACGGCTTGGAATAGAACCAAGTGGCTAAGTGCAAGTCATTTTATGCTAAGCAACCACAAATTCTAAAATGTAAAAAACATATGGTCATATTGTTATACTCCCAAAGACATCTACGAATGCCAAAGATTTCCAAAGTGAGACATTTCATGTCTCTTGAAAGGTACAGATACTATTGGTTTTCAAGTGGTGTGCAATTTTGCCCCCAAGGGACAATTTGGCAAAGTCTAGAGACATATTTGGTTATAACTGAAGGGTAAAGTGTGCCACTGGTAGGGCCAGGGATGCTGCTAAAATCCTACAAGGCTCAGGACACGCCCCCACAAAGAAACAACAAAAAATTATTCAGTCCAAAATGTTAATGCCAAGGTTGACAAACCCTGGTATATACCAACTAAATCCTTACTCTCTTAGTTTGTATCCTTAGTATGTCGATAGTTGCCCATCTCTAAATACCAAACTTTTTAAGAATCACTCCTACTTTTATAATTTAAATTTCTTTACTGAGCAATATCATCAACTCAAAGCACCACGTAAGCCCTACTAGTAAAACCTTATAAAGCCAAATCATCTTTAAAATGTCAAAGCAAATCAAAATTATTAAATGAAACAATGAAGACACAAACCTCTATTTAAAAAACAAAAAGATTTTAATTGATAATTTAAAAAATGTACTTAAAGTTAAAGACTATTAAATTTCACACAGAAGAATGCCAAGGGACAAACCAAAGGCATGGAATTTCAAGTTATTGTAAATTCAGTTTCAGCATATTGATTGGCAATCCTCACTATATAAGTAGGTCATTGTCCTAAAGTTCACCTGAACGCTAGCTTTGTTTTGTTTTGTTTTGTTTTGTTTTTGAGATAAAGCCTCGCTATGTTGCCCAGGCTGGTCTTGAAATCTTGACATAATGTATTAATAGTTGGGATTACAGATGTGAGCCACTGCAGCTACTCTAGCAGATTAATACCCAAAATATATTGCCTCTACAGACACAATTCAGTTCCCTGAGAAAAAGTAGAAAATAATTTAAATTTATTTATGATAAATGAACTTGAATAGGACACCAGTACCAAAATAAAACAAAGAATTCTAACATATTCAACTTTACTCACTAAAACTACAGGGGTCATACCAATGTCACTGGCTGGCCAGAATAACTATAAATGTATTAAACAAACAGGTTTCAGGAACTGCACCAAGTGCTAGGGACCCAATGGTGAACAAAATGCATGCAGTCCCTGCCATCACAGAACTCTCAGGCTAGTAGGAGAGGCTGACATTAAACAAATACACACAAAACATGTGAATGCCATCAAGAACAAATGGGAAAAAACTAACTAGAAGCCTACTTAGTCCAGCCAAGAGACAACAGTAACTCAGACAGTAACTCAGACAGGGCAGGAGCAGGGAAGGGTCACAAATTTTACATGCACAAGAATGCACCTTTTAGATTCAATGGGATGTGGTTTATGTTTACTAACAAAGTATGAAAAGGGATGCCAAGCTGATTCCCAGAATTCTGATATGATTAATGAAATGAGAAAACAAATTTGACAAATGAGTATGCAGGTGGGAGACCCACATTTAGACAGGAGCATGTTAAATGTAAGATGTTCATGTAACATCTAGGCAAGTAACTGGAGATACTAGCCTCGTGCTCAGAAGAGAGTTTTGGCTATCAACATCCATTTGTTTGTAGATAGACAGTACTTGAAGTCATAGGTATAGATGAAAACAAAGGATAAAAAGAGCAGAGAGCCTAGAACATAGGGCTAAAAATCTACAACATGAAAAGAGAAACAGGCTATCAGAAAAGAATGCAAAGAACAGCCAGAGTAACGAGAAGAAACAAGAGTACGTTATCAGGGAAGCCAAGGAAAAGTATTGCAAGAAAGAATAAAGGTTTCCTATGTTGAAATTAAATGACCTCTTGTTAACTTGTTTAGAGGATAGGGAAGAGTAGGCCCACTTTCAGAGGAAAGATTGCCTGCCTTCTTCCATTGAAAAGAAAGATAAAATGCTGAAATACAGTTTCCTAATCTTGACACCAGATGGCAGTACAACCACAGCAGTTCAGAATATCAGAATGGGCTGGGGTGGCTGGATACTGACACACAGGTCAGATGTTAATAGCTCAGAGTAATCTCTTCTCCCCTTCACATCAATCCCTACTACTGTCCACCAATTTTAGCAAGCACCATAACAGTCATCAATTTTTTAATGTATCCTCTTTGATAAAGTGATAATATTAAATGATAGCCAAGCCATTTTTTCAAATATTTGTGTGTGTCTGTAATATACATTGCATCCACAATATGAAAGGCACCATGAGGAATTTACCCTGACTCTGAAGCAGCTTAGAATCTAATTGAGGAGTGGGAGGTGGGGTAGGGAGTAAATGATCAAGAAGACTATGCTATTAATATAATTCATAAAGAAAATATATATTAGTAGATGGAAAATTGATCCAGGTCTTTAAGGAAAGATGAGATTTAGATCAGTATTGTCTAACAGAAAAACATAACCAAGCCACAAATGTAATAACCAGATTTAAAGTAAAGAGAAACAGGTCAAATTAATTTTAGCAACTTTTTTGCTTACTCTAATATAGCCAAAGTATTATCAACATGTAATCAATATTTTTAAAAATTTAGTGAGATATTTTACATCTTTCTCATCCTAAATACTGAAAATCCAGTGCATATTTTATGCTTATAGAATATATCAGTTTGAACAGGCCATATTTTAAGTGCTCAATAGGTACTTGTGGAGTAGTGGCTTCCATATCAGATAGTCCAGATTTAGTGGAAAAAGCATTTCAAACTTTAAGAAAAAGCAGAGGGCTTAAAGCATTATGTGGGCCGAGGCTCACACCTGTAATCCTAGCATTCTGGGAGGCCAAGGCGGGCAGACTGCTTGAGATCAGGAGTTCGAAACCACCCTGAGCAAGAGCAAGACCTCATCTCTACTATAAATAGAAATTAATTGGCCAACTAATACATATAGAAAAAATTAGCCGGGCATGGTGGCGCATGCCTGTAGTCCCAGCTACTTGGGAAGCTGAGGCAGCAGGATTGCTTGAGCCCAGGAGTTTGAGGTTGGTGTGAGCTAGGCTGACGCCACTGCACTCAACAACGCGAGACTGTCTCAAAAAAAAAAAAAAAGGCAGCATTATATAAAAAGAACTAAATAGTCAGAACAGTGAGATCTTAAAAGAGAAGTGACTAAAAAGCAAAATCAGAAAATTTTTTAAATGGAAGGATAGTTATTATTATTACTATCAAATACTGCAGAGTTTGGAAGAGATCTATCCATTTAAGACCTAGGAGACATGTGGCCTGTCAGTCCAAGAGTCTAGTAAAATTTTGGAACCTAAAAGATTGTAAGAAATTAAGACATAGCTACTGATGGAGTTAAGCCATTACTTTTCTTCCCAAAAAGGCTGACATAGATAAGATGGGAGGAAACTGAGACAGTATAATATTTTGAGGCAAAGGGCTTATCTGCTCATAACTGAAGGTTTAGGGAAAAGGCTAATTTACTGTAGAAGGAAAAACTGATAATCTAAGACACAAAAATGTTAACGGGGCGGGGCCCTGGGCGCCATGGCTCACGACTGTAATCCTAGCTCTCTGTGAGGCCGTGAGGCGGGCGGTGTCAAGTCAGGATTCATACCTAGCCTGAGCAAACGAGCGAACCCCCGCTCTATCCTATTAATATACTTTTTCTTTTTTGACAAGAATTAATTGGCCAACTATATTATATATTTTTAAATTTAGTTAGCCGGCCATCTTTTGGTGCACTATGCCTTTTGTACTCCAGCATTCTCCGGAGGCTGAGCAGAAGGATCGCTCGTAGCTCCAGGAATTGAGGTGTGCCTGTGAGCTAGCTGACGCCACGCACATTTCTCCAACTCTAGCCTGGGCAACAAACGAGAACTCTGTCTCCAATAAAAAAAAAAAAAAAAAAAATGTTAACGATAAGGAGGAGCCAAAAGTCAACAAGAGAAAATGAGACAAAGGGACTAAGCGGAAGAAAATGGCCTTGAAGGAAAAAAGAGAAGAATATGAAAAGGGTAAGAGAAAATTTCTCATTTTGTCAGGTATAGTCTGAAATGCTGGTTCTTACCGTGCTCATGGCAGAATGACCAGACGCACCAAAGTAAGGCAAGCATGAGGTGAAGTTTATTTAGGGGGAGCAAGATAGGATTATAGAACAAGAGCAAGACACAGGTTTACAAAGTGAGATGCATACACCACAGATGACAAGCGGACCCCTTCTCACAGCAGAAAAGAGAGCTTGGTTATGGTCTGGGTCTTGTTTTACGGTGCCGGGATACGGACCTCTCTGTGGTTCAAACATCACCATGGAACTACTCTGGATAGTTGGGAACTACCCAACCTGAGTCTTACTGTGCATGTATGTGGGTTCCAGGTCACTTTCCCGACTTTTTCCAGACTTTATGGTACCTAAGCTGCTTGGCCCGTGGGCTAGAGAGTTGTCTGCATTCTTTTGTAGTTGGCATGCCAAGTTTTGACTGCCAGATTCATAGGGTATTCCCCTCCTAGCCATGTATAGCAGTTACTCCAGACAGGATTAAGCTGAAGCAAGACCAAGATAGGGGATTGGGGCCCACCCGTGTCCTTCCCAGGTGGGGTAACAGCACCCACTTTTGTCCCTAGAAGAACTGGAATCCCTTGCTATCTACCTAACAAATTCAAGAAATTAAAATGAGCAAGCTCTCATCAGGAAGCCTTCATCTCAGTAATTATAGAAATCATCAATAAAGAGTAAAGG